GAAGAGGTTTCCACAGTGAGTCCCAATCAAAAGACAGCCAAAGAAGGCATATAACAGAATTGCACATATAAACCCATGGAGAAAAAAACAACTGGATACTCAACCATCAAAAGGATTTTTTTGAGGCAGAATTACACTATGTTCATCTCACTATGGCCTTGAACTCTCGATTCTCCTGCTTCAGCCTCCTAAGTGCTAAGATTATAGTCATATACTACCATTACCAGCCATCTCAAGTACTTTGTTGTGACTAGCACAGAAGAGGTAAAAGAAAGAACAAGAGAAGAGATGGAAAAAGTAGGGTACAGCCTTATGAGAAAATATGTGTAGCATGTTAAGGGATCCTGAAGTCAATGTAAAGGATCCTGAACAAGAAAGTAGCAAAGAAAGATTTTAGAAAAATCAATCTATAAGATACACTGGGGAGAGAAAGCACTGAAAACAGGAAAACTAAGTACATTATAATACTTGCACAGAAAGGGGTTAAATTAGGGGCAGTGATCACACGGCTGGTAGCAAAGGTACAAATATGACAACCCTTTGGATGACTAATACTAAGAGTGAAGGAAGAGAAAAGAATCAGGATGAAGTTTTAAAGTCAAATAGTAATACCATTTAACCACAGAAGTTCCACAGACAGAGAAGCAAGTCTGGGAATGCTAGCTGAATTTGCAGAACATAAACTATATTTTATCCTTTAGTATTAGAAACTAAAGTACACATTACATTGCTCAAGTGTCATTTAACCACAGAAGTTCCACAGACAGAGAAGCAAGTCTGGGAATGCTAGCTGAATTTGCAGAACATAAACTATATTTTATCCTTTAGTATTAGAAACTAAAGTACACATTACATTGCTCAAGTGTCAAGGTCAAGAACATGGGTTGTTTTTTGGTTTTAAAAAAAAAAACAGCTGTTTCTTTGCTAATAAGAATGAAACTTTGTGGAAGGTGTGGTGGTTCAAGCTTGTAATCCTAGCTACTCAAGAGGTGAAGTTTGGGAGAATCACCGTTCAAAGCCACCTTGGGCAGAGTTCATGAAACCCTATCTCAACCAATGGCGGGCACAGTGGCATACACCTGTCCTCCCAGCTATATGGGGAAACACAAATATGAGGATCCAGGTCCAGGGCAGCCCGGGCTAAAGTGAAACACTATTTCAAAAATAACCAACACAAAAAGGGCTGGTGAGCTAGGCGCATGTAAGATTACATGCCTGTAATCTTATCTATATAGGAGGCAGAGATCAGGAGGATCCTGGTTCAAAACCAGCCTGGGCAAATAATTCAAGAGCCCCCTATCTTGAAAATAATTAACATAAAAAAAGGGCTGGTGGAGCAGCTCAAGTGGTAGAGTGCCTGCTTAGCAAGTGGGAAACCCTGAGTTCAAACCCCAGTACCACCAAAAAAACAAAACAAAACAAAAATTCAAAAAAGGCTGGTGGAATGGCTCAAGTGGTAGAGCACCTGCCTAACAAGTGTAAGGCCCTGAGTTCAACCTCCAGTACCTCTAAAACTTCCAAAAACAAGTGGGAAAAAAATAAAAAGAAAACTTTGCAAGGATAAAAAGTGGGGGGGGGGGGATGACAAAAGGCAAATAAATCAAATGATCAGTATACAAAATTTTTATTAGCAAGGTTTTAAAAGTACCAAAATAGGCATTTCTGTCATACAGTCAAGATTTGTTCAATACTTCCCTGACTCACTAATGGGTCATACATGTCAAGTCATAAGGCTTCCTTCAGGGAGGACAACAGAGTGAGCAAGGGTTCTGGCTTAAGAGTCATAATGCTTTGATAAAAGTCGAGGCTCTCAATAGGAGAAGGGGACCAGGAACTAGAGAAAAGGTTAGATCAAAGAATTAACCTAGAAGGTAACACACATGCACAGGAAATCAATGCATGTCAACTCCCTGTATAGCTATCCTTATCTCAACTAGCAAAAACCCTTGGTCCTTCCTATTATTCCTTATACTCTCTCTTCAACAAAATTAGAGATAAGGGCAAAATAGTTTCTGACGGGTATTGAGGGGGTGGGGGAGAGAGGGAGGGGGCAGGGGGGCAAGGGAAAGGGGTGGGGGAAGAGGGGGAGAAATGACCCAAACATTGTATGCACATATGGAAAAAAAAAAAAAAAGTCCAGGCTCTGTCACTTAACATGCTATGACTCAGGGCTAACTAGTTAGCCCTAACTAGTTTAAGAGTTATAGGTCTCAAGTTTCCTCACTAGCAAATGGGTATAATAGCACCTACTTTATAGGACTGTTGCCAAGATGCAATACTTGTTAAAAAAATGTCACAGCTTGGGTTGGTGGAGTGGCTCAAGTGGTAGAGCATCTGCCTAGTAAGCATGAGGCCCTGAGTTCGAATCCCAGTTCCGCCAAAAAAAAAAAAAAAAAAGCACATCTTGCTGGAAGCAATGGCTCACACCTGTAAACCTAGCTATTGGTGAGGCTAAGCATCAGCCAGATGGTAGCCAGAGGGTAGCCTATGCAAACAGTTCAAGAGAACCCAATCTCCAAAATAACCAGAGCAAAATGGAGGTGTGGATCAAGCAGTAGAGAGCCTGCTTTGCAAGCATGAAGTCCTGACTTCAAACCTAGTCCCGCCAAAAAAAAAAAAAAAAAAAAAGTCACATACTTGAGGTACATAAGAGCAAGAAAAAGTAAAGTTAGTATGACTGCCAGTGACCTGAATGTTTGTTTTAAAAGTATTCATTAATCAGGGCACGGTGGTTCACACTTGTAATCCTAACTACTACGGAAGCAGAGATCAAGATCAAGAAAATCGAGGTTCAAGGCCAGCACAAGCAAAAATTCCAAAAGACCACACCCCCACCCCCGCCATCTCAAACAATCTAAGCTGGACGCAGTGGCACGTGCCTGCCATCCTAGCTACATGGGGAAGCATAAGGATCACAGGTCCAGGCTGGTCCAGGCATAAATGTGAGACCCTACTCAAAAAACAACAAAAGCAAAAAAAGAACATGGTTCAAGTGGGAGAACACCTGCCTAGCAAGCATAAGACCCTGAGTCCAAACCCCAGTACTGCCAAAATAACAAAAAAAAATTCATTCAAATATTTGTTTTGCACACTTTTACCAGGGGTAGGGGGAGGAGGCAGTACTGGGGTTTGACTCAGGGTTTTAAACTTGCTAGACAGGTGCTCTACCACTTAAGCCATGCCTCCATCCCTTTTTGCTCAGGTTATTTTTTTAAATAGACCTTATATTGAAATAGACCTGATTTCCCCAGGCCAGCCTGGATCAACCTTATTTATACTTCCTGCAGTACTGGGACAACAGGCACATACCATCACGCCCAGCCTTTTCTGTTGAGATGGAGTTTCATGAGCTTTTTTCCCCTCAGGCTGGCCCGGAACTACAATGTTCACAATCTCAGCCTTCCCTATAGCTGGAATACAAGGTGTGTACTACTGCATCCAGCTACTGGTTGAAATGGGTCTCATGAACTTTTAACCCAGGCTGGCCTCAAACTGTGATCCTCCCACCTCCCGAGTAGCTAGGTGTAAGCCACTGGCACCCAGTTGTTTTGCACACTTTTCTACAAGTATATTTGAAGAGTTTTAAATATTTTTTGAAAATGAATGAGCTTAAGAATCAATGCCAGGGCCGAACATGGTAGTAATGTCTATAATCCCAGCTACCCAGGAGGCAGAGCTAGGAGGATCTCAGTTGAGGACATCGCAGGCAAAGTTAGTTCATGGTCCCATCCCAGGCCCAGTGCTAGTGGCTCACTCCTGTAATCCTGGCTGCATAGGAGGCAAAGATCAGGATGATCACTGTTTGAGACCAGCCAGGGCAAAAAGCGACAACTTATCTCAAAAATACCTAACACACACCAAAATAAAAGGGCTGGGAGAGTGGTTCAAGTGATAAGAGTGCCTGCCTAGCAAGCATGAGGCCCTGAGTTCAATCCCTAGTACCACAAAAAATAAAACAGTAAAACAGTGCCTTATATGAAAAGGTCCGGTGCTGAAACACACATTACACACCAAATAAAGGTAATTAAGAGTTTTCTTTTCATTATACAGTTCCTAAATTTGGCTACAAAATCCACTTCCCTACCCAATCTCCAAATTTCTGTCAATAATTAGTCCCTCCCCTCCATCTCTATATATAAACCTCAGGATAATCTTTATCTCCTTTAGACAGAAAAGGATAGGAAGAGGATTAAGAGAAAGGAGAAAAGCGAAGAGGAGGAAAATCACCAAACTCTCATCCCTGGTCATACTCATCGCCAATCTCAACTTTTTGGAAAATTCTTCCTTGCAGACTAGGTAGCAGCACCATTCCTCCAGGCTAATTCTAGACATTATCTTGTTACTCTTTTCCACTGCTCTAATCATGTTACATCTCCTAACTCTCTGTCCTGGAATAAATTCCTTGGGATCTCCCTATCTAGCAAAACCTTCCAAGCAACTTTGGCCACATGGCACATTTTCAGACAAACAGAAGGCACCTGGAAGTCTCAGTGTTCACCTCCTAACCTAATCACTCTTCCTTTTCATCTGGATTTTTATTTTCTAATTTCTCATGTCCCCTTTTTCATGCTTGGTACACAATTCCTATGAGATTCACCAACTTTGTCTTTCCTCTCTGAAGACCTCTTAAAATCTCTAAGAAGTCATCCTTGAGTGAACGTTTATGAAATTTTTCTTCTGCACCCCTTTCTACTAACAATCCCTACACATAATTCTATTCTCTTATTTTCTTAAAAAAATATATTCTTGCCTCTATTATCTATCAGCTGATTATATAACTTATAATTATGTTTTAACTTTTTTGTCTATATTATATATAAATAAGGAATAAAATCAAAGTGTACCTGCCTGTCCTGGAACAAGTCTGATAATCACAACTACTTACAAAGGTAAGCTGTGGTATGATTCTAATGTAATATAATTTCTAAGTAAGACTAAAAAGCTGTGGTATGATTCTAATGTAATATAATTTCTAAGTAAGACTAAAGTAGAGTAAGTAATTCTAAGTAATACAATTTCTGAGTAAGACTAAATTAGACATGGTATCTAATCTTAGTTTTGTGCAAATCCTCAATAAAGATTCTTGATCAGATTTGACCCCAGGTTACCCATTAAGTCACATCTCTAGCTAGCACTTAGGTAGTGCACTCACTTTCTCTCTCTCACTCTACCTCCCTCTCTAAATCTCAGCAGTCCTACTACATTCTCTCAAGACCCCTCAATTAGTGCTCCTCCAAACTGCCCTTCTTCTCCTCTTTCCTGGTTAACTTTCTTGCACTCTCAGGGGTCAGCTCCCTCTCATTTACCTATTAGGCATCAAGCAGAACATCTCCCCTGACTGCTGACCTCTAAGGTCCGTCCTCTCAAGCATTTTCAGAATACCTATATCCTAACACTTATTAATGTGCTGAATTGTAATTATCACTCCCACTGGACTATAAACTCCTTGAGGTACAGATTGAATCTTAATCCCCTTTTGTAAAAGATTGCTAGACACTCATCAGACAACTGGTGAGTGAAGGCTCATACCCTCTGCATAACTTGTGCAGACTACAAAAGCGCTGAGATTCTGCATCTGAAGTACTTTCCTCTTGTCATGTGGGAATAATGCCATACCTAGCTCATAAGGATTAAATAAGGTATCATGAAGCTCTCCATACAGTAGTGTCTGCTACAAAGAACTACCACTTGAATGTCTGCTATTTCATGTCTTAGTTACTCTAATGTATCCCAGGAAATGTAATGTTGTGATCAGTTATCACGCTGATGGCTTAGTGACCATCCTGTCTTTTGCATGCATACAGAAGTCAGAAGTCACTAGTTACCTTCTGATCTTCAAGCATGTTATTTGCTGTGTACCTACTATGTGCAGGAGTCCTTACCAGGTATCACTACACTCTCCAAGCAATACTAGTATTAAATAGTAAGACAAAAACTTATACCAATATCCGAAAGAGAAAGAATGTTATTCGTTTTTCTGTATAATGAGTATTTCTCAAACGATAAGTTTTGCTTTATAATAACAGTAAGCTTTAAGAAAAATTACTGGTGGAAAAAGTTCAAAATTTAACTCGTCATCAAATAGGCCAGCGACAGAAGACAGTTCCAAAATTTCTTTTCCTATCCCTAAGTTTCACTTTTGCTTAGAAGTATTTCTCACAAAGAAAACTAAGCATGATCAGGCCAGAGGTAGATGACCCTTATCTGTTCACTCAAATGGGAATTCCACAGATATTCCCCTAGGTTGTTCCCAATTAGTATTTAATTTTGTAGCCTAAAAAATGGCCCGAGTTTTATTTACCCCGTTATCTCCTCTAAGGTTAAATCAAATAAATCCTGGCCCCTCAGCAAAAATTACAGAACTGTACATCATGTGACAGTATTAGAAAAGGAGGCTGCGGACTTAAAACCATTTCCCCCTTTCAAATCTAGAGGTCAGAGTTCCAGTGAAGTTTGTGCATTATATTTCACTGGTTTTAGTTGCTGCAGAGGGACCTCTAGCGCTACCTCAATAAGCCGAGTTTGCAAATAGTAGCTGCTAATGTCACCTTAATGAGACAATGGCAACATGCTGAGTAGCAACGAACTGAGTGACCACAATGAATGTTTACAGTTTTGCATGCACTTGGAAAATCTACCAGCTTGGTGCATGAGTTATATACAAGGACGTAGGAACCTATGTACACTCAATTATTTTACCAATTTATTTCAGCAAAACCTATCAAAGAATTTATTATCCTGTGCACACTTCCACTCCAGAAAAGGCTAAGAAAACATGTCCTAAGAGCGGAGGTCAGAACCAAGGACGTAGAACCTATGGTACACTCAATTATTTTACCAATTTATTTCAGCAAAACCTATCAAAGAATTTATTATCCTGTGCACACTTCCACTCCAGAAAAGGCTAAGAAAACATGTCCTAAGAGCGGAGGTCAGAACCACCTCTTTCCCAATGCCTGAACACAATAGATGGTAAACTATTGTCCACCTTCAGCTCGCTTCAAATGCCAGCCGTGTTCCGGAGTACGAGCTGGAAAAGCTCAGCGCGACTGGTCCAGAGCACGGCATTGGAATATAGGAAAATTATCCTGGCGCATCCTACCCTCCCCCAACCACCACCCTCAAACAAGTCGGTTACCCGGCTGGTCCCCACCCCCCTCTGCGGGCTGCCACCGCCCGCCTGGGCCCGGCTCGCAGAAGGTAGGCGCGGGACCCGTGGAGCCGAGGCTCCATGTGCCGCAGCGCGGGAGTACCGAGCGGGCAGCGCCGGGCGGGAGGCTGCACTGGCAGCGAACGCGAGCTGCGGGCGGACCCAGCGGTTCGGCCGACGGCGGCAAGCATCCCCGTCCGCCCGTCCGTCCTCCCGTCCGCCCGCCCGCGCGGCCCCGGCCCGCGGACCCCGCCTCAGCTCCACATCCCTTCCCCGCCGCCACCAGGCCGCGCCCGCGTGACGGGGCCGAAAGCCCCGGCATTTCCCGGTCCCCGCGCCGGCAGCTCCGGAGGGTGGCTGCAGTTGCCGGCCCGAGTCCCGCTGCCCACTCCACCCAGCCCAGGGCCGCGGTGACGGGAGGCGGTGGCTAACTCCGACTGACCGCAAGCCGGCGAGAAACAGCCTGGCGCTGGCCCCCCGCCCCTCCTCCGCCGCCGCCGCCGGAGGGCCCAGACCGCGGAAGCACACTCACTTCCACATCGCGGCCCTTGTTCTTGAAGCTCTTGATGCGGTGGTTCTCCAAGCCGGGGTTTTCGGCCATGGCTGCGCGCGGCTCCGGCGGCGGCTACTCCTGCGGCTGCGGCGGCGAGTCTCGGCGCGGGAGGGGGGGTGGGGGAGGCCGGGAGGGGAAGGGAGGGGGAGGGGGAGAGAGCACGTTCCGTGACGCCTCCGAGCGCGAGGTGGCAGCAGCGCCGGGGGGAGGCGGCGGCCGACGGCCAGGCCAGGCGGGCGGGAACGGCGCTGAGGAGTGGCGTGCGCTCGGGGGGCTGAGGATACGTAACGAGAGGCGGCGACTGGCCTGGCTGCTCGCCCCGCTGATTTTCGAGATGACCCTGCTCCCAAACCCCCAGTAGGGCCTCCCCTTGGGGCTGCAAGTCATGTGCCAGAAATGGAGCGGGACTTAGGGGCTTTTACCGCCCCACCCGGGACACAGGGCGGCAGGGGGGAACTACAGTTCCCAGCATGCCAGGTGCTGGCCAGAGTATTTCTCCACGCCCAAGGAAATCTAGGAGCATGCCGGGATAGCTGTGCGCGCGCGCTTTCGGAGCCCGTCGCCTTTCGGGCGCTGGCCGCGAAGCCCCGCCTCTGGGCGTAGCGGAAGGAGGAGCTTCCTTGGAGACTGCACCTTGCGCCCTATCCGGAAAGAGGGGCGGGTCCTCTGGCGGTATTCCTCACTTCTTGCAGCCTGAAAAATTAGAAAAAGAACAACTGGCCGTGCTTTGCTCCTTCGCTTATTTGGAGTCTCCTCAAATAGAAGCCACCCTCAAGCGCTGTTCCCTTGCTGTTCTTCGGTTTTATAAATACCGTTTATTTCCACTTCACATGTACATATGTGTGTGTGTGATAAGTGTGCTATGCGTGTTAACCTGGTTTCCTGTACTGGAATTCAGCTCAGAGCAGAGTCTGGTTGGTTTACCGATGAATCTCTCTGGTCTAAACAGTACCCGGCACGTCGTAGGTACTCGGTAAATACCAATCGAACAAATTAGCATTCTAGCGTCACCTGGTTTCTTTTAAATTTGTTTGGTTTGGGTCTGGTGATGCTGGGGATCGAACCCAGGGCCTAAGCATGCCCTGAGATATATCCCAGGTTCCTGGTTTCATTATCCTCTCAAACCCGCTTTTGCAACCTTCACTTAACAGTTCCTGTATTCCTCTGCCCCCCCAACACCTCCGGTCAAACCCTGGTTCACAGACTCCAGTCTTCCATCTCCCTCTGGGGTCGTGGGAGGAATGACCGAGGGGCATTTGAAGGATAACACTGAACGCTGTTTGGGGCAGGTGAGGCTTATGAGGTTATTAAGTTTCAGAATCCCTGGTAGAAATAAGATGGTATGAAATGTTATATTGCATATAATTCAAATAAGCTGAGTGTGGTCAAAGGTTGGTAGAAACATACTGTGGAGTTTAGTTGAAGACAATTTTCAAAAGAAAGGGCCCCGGAAGAGCTTGTGGTCCAAGAGTTAGGAATTCACAGGCATTAAGTGGCCAAGCTATGTCGCAGGCATTCTTGTGAATGGAGACATGTGGCCTATTGATAAACACAGGCCCATTTAAAGCCTTCAGACCATTGTTGACATTGGACTGTGGCCCACTGATGCCAGAAGGTGTAATTTTTCAGGAAAAATAAAAAAGGCTAGATTCTTTTTTTTCTCTACTTTTAAGTGTTAATTCACATTTTAAATGGGCTTTAGTGATTACTTCAGAAAATCAAGCCCTCCATGTGCGGTACTTGATAATAGTCTAACCACTCTCCTGAAGAAAACAATGAAAAAAATCACTTATGACTTAGCATAAGTACATTGGCTCAACTCTGGTTCTTCAGGAGGTAGAAGTTTGTGTCTACCCCCCTCCATGACTGACTGCAAGAGAAATTTCCAGACTGTTGCTCAGTTTTCTTTATAATTTAGCAGGTATTCTTTTGTCCGGGTCTTATCCCCTTCTACCTCTCTCTTCACCTTACCTGCTGTCACCAAAAGCTCCAGTCTTTCTTCACACTTTTCTGACATTTATTGAGCATTTACTATGTGTCAATCATTGCACTGAAGCTAGGATCCCTTTGTAAACTGACATCCTGGTTCCAACTGACATCCTGGTTCCAACTGACATCCTGGTTCCTGCCTTCACACCCTTTCATGTTTACCAGAACAGATAGACAGTGAAACAAGTAACCACTGAGAAAGTGTGGTGTGTGCTAAGAAAAGAGAAGGAAACTTAAGGTTCGTGGTAGGAAGACCTTTCTAGCCTGCTGCTTCCTCAACCTCCGGTCAAGATAAGAAATGAAAGACTGTATCACATGTCTAAGTATTTAAAAGGTTATAAGTCAAGTTTACAACCTTAAATGTATTCTAACCTCCAACATTGACAAATGTACCTCCTTAACAAGGAAATTGGGTTCAAATTTAAATTTCCTGTCTTGGAGCTCTGTTTCAGAATAAGGCAGCATGGGAAAGCCTAGATACTAGCAGAATGGAGACAGAAGGCTGCCCTCAGCCTGGGCAGACCCTCTTCCTCCTCCATATTCCCAAGTACCGGGAGTTATGCTCATAGATGGTCTGGTGATCAAGTGCAGTAGGCAACACACATAGCAGATCCAAACAGGAGTTTGGGATTTTCCTTCTAAATCAGTACCTCTTAGCAAGCTCCATGCTCGTGACTGGCACAACCGTTTCTCCAGGAACTCTGCTCAGAACCAAGAGCCATCTTTACCGTCTGCCTTGTCCTCCCCTTCTCCCACCAGTTACCGTGTTAATGCACCACTCCGTTTCTGGAATCTCTGCTTTGCATGCATCCTTTCTGGTCCCCATGCCTTCTTCAACCCCTCCACAACAATCTACTCACTTCTCCAAGTTTTCCTGACCTTATCTGTTCTCCCTATCAGTGGCTCCCTCTGCCATTGTCCAGTGAATCATTTTTAAACTCCTTAGTCTGGTGGTTAAGATCTTCTGTGATACAGTCATAGTGCAGTGCTTTTCTTATTTCTAGCTCCCTTGCATATAGTTTATGATTTAGCCAACTAACATATTCTGCTCACCTTTCCCAAATGTATCTTAAACTTTCTACCTTTCATATCTTTGCTGTTTGATTTATCTAGAAGGTCCTGCCCCATCTCTGCCTGTCAAAATTGGTCCTTCTTTAAATATTTAGCCTAGTGGTCACATGTTCCATGACCTTCCATGTGCTACAATGGGGAGAACTTCAGAATCTGAAAACTCAAGCCCCAGGGCTGACTTCCTACCAAAGTGAAGCCAGTCAAGTCATTTACCTTCCCTGAATTCTCTCTTCATCAAATGAGAATTCTGAATCACTGAATTTTTGAGAGAATCAAATTCTAAAAGACACATGGTAGTGCTTTGAAATTGCTATGTTGATATTGCTACTATCAATATCCATTTGTTTTCTATTGCTATGAAAGATTTCCTGAGGCTGGAAAACTTGTTGATAAAAGAGGTTTGCTTGCAGTTCTGGAGGCTGAAAGTCCAAGATCAGGCAGCTCCCTCAGTTCATCCTTAATGAAGGCCCCTTGGCTGGTCGGCAGAAGGCATCATGGCAGAAAGTACATGTGAGAGAGGGAGATCACATGGCAGATCAGGAGCCAGAGAGCAGGTAAGGGGCAGTCTTGCTCTTTTACAACAATCCTCTCTAGCTAGAACTAACTGGGGTTACATGAGAACTTTGTTATTCCCTTTCAAGGGCAGATTCCCCAATGACATAATTACCTTACACTAAACCCCACCTCTTAAAGGTTCCACCACCTCCCAATATTGCCTCACTCACTAAGTTCCTAGCACTTGAACCCTTGGGGAACACACTCAAACCTCATCCAAACCATAGCATTATCTTTCTATCCAGAAGTGGTATCTTCTCTCTGAACCTCATTAAGACTTTATTTACTGTTTCGTAGTTCTACAATTGTTTAGCCTTATTTCTTTCATTCACCTGTTGCTGTGATTGGAGGATAAATGTTCCTCCAAAATTCATATGTTGGACCCAGTACAGAGCAGTAGTCCCCCCATCCATGGCACCTAGTAGATCCCTGAAATCACAGGTAATATCAAGCCCTGTGTCTTCTCACTTGATGGAAACACTTTACAGCTTCTTTTTGGCATATCCAATCATTATCATCACACACTTAGGGGTCATTATTGGTTAAACAAGGGTTACTTATACACAAGTATTTCCATACCTCTGTAGTCAGTCCCATAACCAACACAGCTACTAAGAGATTAATGGGCAGATTGTGTATACACATGGATACACTGGACAAAAGGATGACTGGCATCCCAAGCAGAACAGAGCAGGATGGTGAGAGATTTCATCACATATTTCTGTACCTATTTATCATATCAGTGTACACTTACTAAAAGCATTAAAGATTTCAATTTATAAATATTCAATTCTAAAGCCATTCATGGAAAACAATGGGAGGAAGAAGGCAGACACCTAAAAGTAGATACCAAAAGGGTTGTTTAACTAGTTTGATTATAAACTACTCCTTTCTCCCTACTATTTGTAGAATTAATGATTCCTCAGCTTGGAAAATGCCTAGAGACCTAAAACAGCTTGTGTTAGCAATACAGTTCTGGACACATTTTTTTCCTCCCTTTTTCAAATTGCTATGTTCCTAATGAGCACTGGTAATATGTTAATAATTCCTAATTAAAATAGGCAATGAAACTTTTACAAAAAAAGTGTTTCCTACCTAAATTCTATGAGTCTTTTAACTTTGAGGTCTATCTCTCTCTAAATCCTTCAGATTAAATGACTTTGATTTGGCTAAAATGTTATTTTTTTTCTCCAACTGCTCTTCCCCATTTTCTCTCTTTGCTCTCCAGATGTGCTACACATGAGCTCACAGGAACCTGAGCATTTATAGACCAGGTAGTATTATGTCCTACAGCTGTGCTGTCCAACACAGCAACCATA